ACACACACAAACACAGGCACGCATACTATCAACTTTCAAACAAAATTTCAAACAGCTAAACGTACCAAAATGGCCACATCGTCTACTGCAAACGCGACAGCCACAGCTAGCAAATCAGCTCTCCCGCCTACACCAGCTGCAAGGCGTAACTACGCTAAAAGCGGTGGTAGTGGTAGCGGCAGTGGTAGCCGTGTTGAAAGTGGTAATGGTAGTCGCGATGATGACGTCATTCTTACTGGTGACGCGAAAAGCAGTAGTGGTAGTCGAAATGGTGACGTCGGTGTTAATGGTGCAGCCGTTGATGGTAGTAAGAATGGTAGCGACAGAAATATTAGTGGTACTGGTGGTGGCAGGAGTGGCGATTATGCCGCTGGTGGTGGTGTTAATGGCTCGCCGGCGCTCAGTAAAACATCTGTGAGTATGTTTGATGATGATGATGATGAAGATGATGATGACGATGATGATGTTGATGATGATGTTGATGAAGATGATGACGATGATGATGAAGATGATGATGTTGATGATGATGTTGATGATGATGTTGATGATGATGTTGATGAAGATGATCACGATGATGGTGAAGATATTGTAGATGTTAAAAAATAATTTTTTTGCCAAAAATTAACAGAGTCATAAAAGCCAAAGATCCCACTCTTCTGACGGTATATATATATATATATATATATATATATATATATATATAGAGAGAGAGAGGAGAGAGAGAGAGAGATGTGCCTGTGTGACTTGTATGTGTGCTATATAATAATCGTTATGGTTCGATTTTTACTACTAAGGAATAATTAAATGATATGAATGGTAATGAAAATTTAAGATAAAAATAGTATTATAAATAATATTATAAATAATGATTTTGATTTTGATTTTGATTATTCACTTTTTTTCTCTTTCTAAAGTTCCCTTGACCTACGATCGAACTCTTGAAGGCGACAACCAAGATTTATTGGTGGGATTATTATTATTTTTTTTATTATTATTATTATTTAATTACAATTTATTATTATTATCGTTAGTCATAGTAAAATCAACAGTAAAGCTAGAAGTTGTAGTAGTTGTGGCAGCAGCAGCATCAGTAGTAGTAGTAGTAGTAGTAGTAATAGTAGTAGTAGTAGTAGTAGTAGTAGTAGTAGTAATAGTAGTAGTAGTAATAGTATTAGCAGTAGTAGTAATAGTAGCAGTAGTAGTAGTATTACTAATATTACATCTGTCTGCCAATTTTACATCTGTGGCAGCAGCAGCAGCTTGATTACCTATAAAACCACTATTGACAATTTATAAAATCGTTATTGTTGTGTTTCGTTGTTTTGATGAGTTGTAACACAAACTAAATAGAAAACAATAAGCGAAATGTACGTATACTAATTTATTACGTAAAATAAATATAACGTTCTATAACCAAAC